TTTTTTTTATATAGCTTACTTTGCTATAAGCCTGTTCACACAGATAATCTTTAATTTTATTTTGCATATTTGTTTTTGTTCCAGCGTTCTTATATGCAAATGTCAAAATTTTCAACAATATTTTGTTTCCTGAGAATTATTCATAAAATTGCAACACAATTGTGATACTATTAAGTACGATTATACTGTTGTGAAGTACAAATACACTACTCTGAAGTAAAAATTGCACTACTGTGAATTACAAACTTGATTTTCTGCATATATGAAGATTCAGTCATGACTTTAGTTGAAGACTTTGTGAATGAATTTGGATTGTAATTTTATAACGAAGCAAGACGAATTAAGAATTAAGATTCTTTCCGCTGTGTGAATAGGCAACTAAGCCTATTCAAGTTTTGAAAGTGAGAAAGTTTATGCAACGTATGAAAAACGTATACATTCAGTCAAACATACACTCGGTAAATTCCTATGCTAGTTCTTTGACCCAAGATACGAAATCAATCCCGTGTAAGAGATAAAAGTACAGATCCATTCAAAGTACTGTTGCAGAAAAAGGTTTCACAACAGGAGGAAATATGTTTATTAAACAATAATAACAAAATAAAAGTAATGTAAGAAAATCTAATAAAACAATATTTAAAAGATAAAAAATAGATAAAAACAATGAAAAAAACATGATTTAATAAAAATTTTAAAATAATTGAAGGTTTTTGCAGATCCATCGGATCTTAACTTAAAATACTAATTATTTTGAACCACCACAATTATAACCACCACCATAAATTATAGTTCTGTAGGGCCAAATACCCATATATTTTTTTGTTTTGATGCTTTTTCTGGTGATTAGCCTTCATTGTGTCCGGGTATTGGCATTAGGAGCGATACACCGTGGGCATAGGTCGATAATCGTGTAAGTTGTTATGAAGCCATGATAGTGACAAAGCTTTAGTTCGCAGATAAATGGGGGTTTGTGCACAAAATAGATAAATTCAGGAAATTCTCTGCATATAGATACACTGCTTAAATTAATTACAATGCTCATGGAGTTTACCCTATTCACACCCAAATATAAATAGTGTGTTTATGTAAAGTGAGAAGATCAGAATCAATTTCTTAAATTTATCTTCTTATTAATCTTCTTCTTATTAATCTTCTTATTAATCTTCTTATTAATTAAAAGATAAGTGGTAAAGAATCTGTGCAAAGTAGAGGGAACGCGATTCTGTCTATACCCTCTCTGACTGCAACTGCTACCGACAGGTACTGTTACTATCTGAGGCTTTTTCGTTTGCATGCGGATTTGTAAGTTATTTAATATTTCTTTCTATTATATAGAATATAATAGTGTAAACTTCAATTGTCTTTCTACTCTTGCTTGCTGAAAATCGGAGTTATTGTCTAAAGTACTTTTACTCAATCGTACCTGTGATCATTTGGATGATAGTGTAAACATCCACAGAATCAAGCAATTTCTGCGTTCTATCCTTGATGTACTTTAGCACATTCTCGATTCTTAAGAACTTGTGTATATTTTCAGTCGAGCTTTACCATGATATAATGATACTTTTATCACTGCAATATTTTGGTATATTTTAAGTACTCTAAATGAAACAGCATTGCACACTAACATATATAAAAAGTACTGATACAAATTTTAAATTTTTTATTATATTTTTTCTATGTTAATAATTGATTTTAGAAATATTTTTAATAAAAATATTTACTAAGTTAACATAAAATATTTAATAGTTTTTGTTTTTAATACTCGAAGTTCAAACTAAATTTTTTTTTAATATAATATTTTATTAATAAAGCTGAAATAGTTCATAGCACTCCATGAAGGTCGTAATTTTTAGAATCATTCTAAATCGACAATGATTCCATATAGAAAAATAACAAAAAATATACACTCGAGTGTGTTTATAAAATCCACGGGTTTATTGATGTTATGTCGGTTTGATATATTATATTAGAAAATTGACGTAATATTTATACAGCACAAATCACGTTCATAAACACATATATTTATATACTTTCATAAACTGAAAACAATTTGTCGAAGGGCTAAACAAATTTTAAATTTATTGTTGTTTTTTATTTGTGTTTATATTTGGTTGGCCAAAACTGTTTCTGGTAACAACACGTGTTGGTTTGATAAGATAATATTATTATACAAACATGTACACATGCCGTGTGTACGGATAAATTCGAGCGCTGATAATGAGAATAAACTTTACAAGGGCTTTTATCGTGAGGTTAAAGCCACGGAAGTTAAATTGTTTTAAGTGTTTTTTTTCTTTGTTTTTATTTTTGTTTAATATTTTGATTGTTAATTTTTAAACAAACAATGGCTTATTTAACTGCCAAAGGCTTAACGCTGTTATAATCATAAATAAGGGCTAATTGAAAGTTCTAATGGTCATTAGTTAATTATTCTAATTAAGAATAATTAACAATGTAATTTTCATTTAATAATTTACAAAATTTTGTTCATGTACAATCAATTATTCTTTACAATAATATTTAATTATTTCATTTTATGAGTTACATTGAGGTTTTCATTCATTTCAATATATTTATAAAAGGCATTTTTTATTTGAAAGATTTGGATTTTAAATTGGCTACACTGTTTCTAGCGGAAGCCATTTTGACACGGACTTTAATTCCCTCCTGATATTTTAATACAATATAAATAGACCAGAACATAAATAAGATATTAAAAAGTTCCAGATTAGTAAACTTTATAAATCGAAACCCCTCAAAGGCCACACAATCTCAATGTACTTACTTACTCGATATAGCGTCGAGTAGCCTCCCCCAGCCAACCCGATTAGTTGCTTGCTGTCGCCGGTTTCGAGCATAAATTACAAAACAAATCCCTTAGACCCAATCGATCAATTGATGATTACACTATGTGACAAAATATAAGTTGCTGTTTTCTCTTCTCTGATTTTTGAATGATTTTAGGTCAATTTGAATTCTCTAAACTTAAGTCAACAACCCAATCTTATCATAGACATATTGGTTGCTGGCAATAACGAGTAAAGTTAAAAAACTTAGATCATAAAGGATTATTAAAAAATTATTTTTTTTAGAGATACGAATTTCATGTTTTCAATAAATTTGCTACAAATAAATACGTAAACATTACAAATATATAAACAAATTCTAAAATTATATAAATAAAAATTACAAATATATATTATATATTCTTATATACTAAAATTTTATCTTCTTCTTTTTTTCAGGTAAGTCCATTTATGTACTATATTTACAAAGGTAC